TTTTTCCTACTGAAAAGGTGTCTCTACTCCAGCTCTTGATTGCACACACACATGATTTCCTTGTGTGCTATTTATAGAAGCAGAAGATGCTTGGAGCTGTATTTTACAAGGCACTCCCAGCACTAGGCTGCATTATTGCATCTTTTAGTGGTACCTGCTGTAGTGTTAGTTTCCCACTCTTCAAACACGGGAATTTAAAAGAATTGACTAGATGGGAATGGAAAAGGTGGAAACAAATAAAGAACTAAGACAGAAAAAAATATCTCTTTATATATTTTCTTTCTGTGTAATATTATCCCTGAGTTGCAAAAGAGAAAACAAATCTACAGATCTGATTCCCCTGGTGAGGGCTGATGGAGACCGCAGAGGCCGTCTTTTAAACTCAAGGAGATTTTCACCTTGTAGCAGGGCGTGGGGGATTTGTTGAGACTGTGCTGAGTGTAGATTGAAATCAACATCACAATCCAGATGCTCCTTTTCCCCCAAAGTTGAGAATGTCCCAACAGAAGAATAAGATGTCAGAACCTCTTTTGTTCCTTTACTGGCCATCCTTTTTTATTTTCAGCTTCATTTTTATCCAGGAAATAATATCTGCCAGCTGTGCAGAATGAGGAAAATAATGCCTATATGAAGACTTTCACGAGGTTCTTTGAAGATAGTTCTCTGTAAATATTTTCTTTAAAGTAGTATTCCTCTGGTACTAGCATTCTTTGAGCATTTGTTTCCCATTACTGTAATAGGCAGAAGCTCACCTTTCAGAAGATGCTGGACATATGCTTCTTTTCCACTTGAGGAAAGCAAGTATCCCATGATAAGTATTAACATTCTTCTTTAACCTACCATATTCACAGTAAAACTGGCCATGTTGCCTGTTTTCTCCAGCTCTTTTTAACCCAGTTTTTATCATCTCTTCATTTCTTGGAAATGAATAAAAATGGTTTCCACAAAATAGCTTCAGAGGACTGGATGTTCTTGAGCATTCAACATCTCAACCCACAGTTTTCACTACCCCTCCAAAAGGTGCAGGAACGGTGCAAAATACGGTTCATCTTGTTCTCCAGGGATTGTCTCCCTGAGTTTCATTTAACACTTAAGTGCTTCTTCCTTGCCTTGCAAATTTCACTTTGCTTCTCAGGTGAATCTTTTGCCAAAGTCACCTGAAGCTGCTTCTGTAAAACCTTATGAAGTTCAACGCGTGCCCGTGCCTGGGGATCTCCAGCGGAGTCTAACATGTGTGCTGCATGTACCGGAGCAGCTTCACAGCTCCCATCCTCCTCTATCTATTTCCCCTACGTTTTAGTCACTCTGCCTCCTTGTTTAGAGGGAGAAAGTGGGAGAATACTTTAGGGGTTGTTTGTTGGGGGTGATTGAACTATTGGCCAAAGCCACAGTGGAGTCTTCCCTGCTTTGCAGAAACAGGCCGTTTAATAAAGCTGACTGAGGTAGACCTGTTTGCTTAAAATGAGCTCTTTATTTTCTTGGCACTAGGAATCTTAGTAAATTAATAACTTAGGCATAATCAAGAAAAAAAAAAAGACATAAACAGATGAACAGAATAATGAGGAACATGAACAAGTTTTTATGTGGAAAAGTACTTTAACATATGCTCAGTTTTAAGTGCGTGTTTTCAGTGAATCCTGAATCAGGAACGTACATAGGTGCAGGGCTCATTTCCTCTACTGACTGTAAAATCCCAATTTTAATGGGATTAATTTCATTGGGATTTCTGTCAAAAAATCCAGTCTTTTAACATATATTTTCAGAACACCCATATAAACCATGCACATGTATAAAAACAGCTTTTGGTGACTATGAGAAAGCTAAACTGAATTTGATCTAGTAACCTGAAGCTGAAAAGCTCTGATAGCTAATTACAAATCCTGTGATTCATGCAATCTTCAAAAGAAAAAAAAAATACTTTTGCCATCATACTCCTCATCCTTAGCTGTGGTGCAAAATGAAAGAAGGTAAAGGAGTGCAGTTGATCTGATTAAAATCCAGTAAAATGGAAACACAAGTGATATTCTAGTTTGACTCCACAGAAGGCCACTAGTAAGTAAGTAGTTCAAGTATTTTAGTGGCTCCTGTATTGTTGCCCACAGGGAAAATAGTCTAAGTGCTTTCCCTTTCTTATAAAGAAAAGAAGTTTTCATCCATGTTTTATAAGGCTGTCTTGTCACATCCATTATAAGGCCTGACACAACGTACTGTGGCAATTTCTATCCCGTGCTTTTGTAAGTGGGTTTTCTGCAAGGGGCTGAAAACAAATCTATCTATCTGTATATATACACACACACATACACATATGTAGGTCAGGTAACTGATAAAGTCAAGGTGCCTTATGGAGCATCACACATGGGGTGTTATTGCCTACATAAAATCAAATCTAAACAATCTGTCAATCCAGACATCTTGACACAAACATGAGAGAATTATCCTTAATCTAAAAATGTTGAACTATTAATAATAATAGTATTTATGAATGACTTTATTCTCATTCAGAACTGACCAGATAGTTACATGAGGAAATAGCAGAGGACAGGATTTAAGCTCTTTGTTCTCTAAAGGTACATGGGTAATATTGCAGAGTCAAGAATGGCAAGAGAGTGCCTTGAAGAATGTTGGGTTTTTTCTAACTTCTGAACCATCCAATATCCTGTTCCATTTAAAAATGCAAAGAGCAAAGGGGATTGGAGGCAAAGAAGGAATGTTCCACAGGCTATCAATTTTATGCAAGAAGTGATTTTTAAAGACGCACACATAAATTTGGTATGTCTATCTCTGTACAAACATGCAAATCATCTTCTGCATGCACAGAACAGGGAGATGTCAAGTTTTCAGCTGAATGCATGCACCATTTGTGACATTTTACTTATCTGAAAAGCCAGTTTGCCTATCCATAAGCTACTTGCACCGTATTTTTGATCAGAAGTAATATACTTACAGATGTCAGACAGCTCTTTGTGTAGATCAGATACACACAGGCAACCGGCATGTCATTGTGTACACTGCATTACAGAACTGCTCAGCATTTGCATCATTTGACTATTTTGCCTTATCTGTGTTCAGTAATCTTCTTATCGCTCATCATAATGTCCCACCCTTCAGTGGGATTGGTCCAAATAGGTTTTTTTTGTTGTTTTGAGTCAGCCTGCCTTAAAAAAAAATTCCTTGTAAATTCAGAATTTCTCTCAAAATACCCTGGTTTGAGGTAAAATTATTTTTGGCATAAGCAGCATCTTATCTTATGCCTCTTGAGGACTAGACATAAAAGTTTTAAATCCTTGCAAACCAGAGAATTCCCAGAACTTCAATATGACACTGGAAATATGAAACTAGAACAGAAAAATGACTTCGAGACTTAAGGAATCCCAGAATGTTTTCAAGCACAACTTTCCGGGTACTGTACTATTTAAATAACAGAAACATGCTTGCTTGCTTAGGGGATAAAAGAAGAAATGAGAGAGTTGCTCCTGTAAAAAGTGGGGATGCTGTGACTACTTGTGCTCACTAGTATTTTTCTCTTGGCTGGAAAATTTAAACCAAGGCAATGTTTCCTGCAGAGGTAACCTTGTCTAGCTCTCAGATTTATCCAGGCTGGCGATGGCTGAGAAAAAATGCACCCCACAATGTGGAGAAGACTTAAGAAAGGCAAACAGTTGGTTCTTGGTAATAGGAAGGAAATGAGGAGGATGAAAACAGGCAATCCTCCTCTTCAGATACCTCAGAGGATCTGCTGTCTGGATAAATGAGCTAAGTGGTCCAGAAAAGTACCTCATGAACATGACCTTGAAAATCATTAGGTGTGGAAATAACCATTCTTCAAACCACTTCCAAGATGAATGCCTCTTTAAGTCTGTTTCTCTGGAGCTGAAATGTATCTTATCTGCTAGTACATACTGCTGGTCTGAGTCCTGCACAGAGCTAGGTAGCAGATTATCCATCCCATTTACACCTGATGAAAACCAGCGCAATCTGATTGAAAAAATGTCCTCCATGTCAATCCTGAGAAAAAAACCTTATCATCAACTTAGATGGGGAAAAAAATGCAGGCTGTGGTCAGGCTCTGCCCCCCTGTTATGCAACCCACCAGCTTTTAATCATTATCACGATCGCACAATTGCATCAGGCAGTCAGCGTTTTTGGCCCGGTGCTTAAAATGCAAAAGCGCATCTTTGTCCCTTTAACTTCTCTGCTCGCTATTATGCCTGTTTTTCCCCTCCTCTGGGACTGTGCACTCTGTTGCTGCTCCTACTGCCGCGAGTGAGCGGGGAGCATTTCTCCCGCTTGCCGAGCAGGCTGCTCGTCCTTATCTGGCGTGCTCCAAGGACGCTGCTGTCTGCATGCCAGCAGGTGAAATGGGACTGGTGGCATCTGCACACATGTGTTTGACTGCTTAAATTCTCCTAAGAATGTGCTACCCTTAAAGCCTCCATTTCTCTGACAAGATCTTTCTCTCTCTTTATTTTTTTCCAAGGAGAAAAGGAAAAGGCAGACAGAAATAGAAGGCAAGAGACAACAGCTTGAGGACCAGATACTTCAGCTGCAGCATTTCAAGGTAAGGGACTGTTGCCAGAAACGATGGATTGACTAAATCTGCTCATTATTAGACATGCAGATCACACGACTGAAAGCTGGGAAGAGCCCACTCCGACATGAAGCAGCTTTCCCTGCCGGAGCCTATCTCTCCCAGCTAATCGTGTCCTGCCTTTCATTCTGCGTGTCCCCCCTGCACAGGACCGTGCCGTGGAAATGGCTTAGCAGCACCGCAGCGGCAGGGCGTGAGCACGAGCGGCTCAGCAGCACCGTTATTGTTAAACACTGTTATTTATTATACATAGCGATAAGACACCAATCGCTGCAGATGGGGTGTGCGCTGCATGGCTTCAGCGAGCTCTTTCTGCCTGCAGAGCTGCTGTAGATTTTGCTCGTGCCTGTCACCGGGTTTTGTGTCTGTGCGTGTTGCAGAGAGGGATGTTAGTGTGTCTGTGCATGTGTGCAAGGCTTTAATTGTAGGATGAAGTTATTAAGCTTGCACAGCATAATGAAATGGGTGAATACGCTCAAGCAGGGAGGGCGCTGATCCATATGTCTGTGTCTATATATAGAGATACCTTGATTTTTAACAGGGTGAGGAGCAGCCCCAGTCCCTGTTGGACTCCATTACAGCTGCAGATCCTCACCACTTTTTGAAAACCATCCTGGTTATTTCTATCCTTTTATTCTTCCTATGGAGATTGTCTTTACATTGCTGGTAGCAAAGGGGCAAACAAAAATGTACGTGTGATCTTTTTCTGCGTATGCGGTTCATATTCTCATCATTAGTTTAAAAATATCGTATTTAGGTTGCTTGTGCAATAGTGTATGTGTGTGTACAATGTACCTGCATGGGGAGGTGTTGCGCAGAATATCTCTGCCCACACATATACTCAAAGACTAGACTTCAAGTTATGCTGCAGACAGGACCCTGCTGCCTCAAATATCTGCCATAATGTTCTGCAAAGAATACCTCATTTTCTGGTAAACATAACAGTTAAACCCAAGTAATTGATGGCAGCCTACACAGATGCATCATCAGCCTCATCACAAATCTGCAGATATCACACTTTGTTTTCAGTGTTTTCAGTCAATAATACGATTGCATTTCTGCGGGGCAACAGGCGTTGCCATTTCATTAAGGCTGCCACTAGCTACAGGCAAGGAAGAATTTCTTCTGACTATCACAGGCTGATGCAGCAGGGCAGTAAGATGCTTTCGCAGTGCCTTCATTTTGCCTTTCCTGCAAAGCTGGATACTTCCTTCATATCATGTTAACTGTTTCAAAGCTAGCTGCTTTTTCATTAAGTTTTCTGAGCACAGCGTTTTGAGAAGAAAGTGCTAAGATTTTTTTAATTAATTTTATTTTGAAAAAAAAAGAAATATACAGAGATATGATTTGCTATATTGAGTTTTAACACCATGCTCAGAGGAGTGGCAGCCCCTCAAGGCAGTGTTCTTCGGTCATGGCAGCTTTCTCCCCACAACCCAGGGTTGTAACTGTTCAGGTCTGTCACAGGGTAACTCCCTGTAACTGTTCAGGTCTGTAATGCTGGGTGTGACAAGATGCACGGGGATGGTGACAGAGCCCCGCTGCTTCCCCATTCCATGGCATTCCCAGTCACCGTGGGGGAACGGGGTGAGGATTTGGTGAACTTGTCACAGCTGTGACAGCGGTGGCAGAGGTGCCAGGAGCTGCCTGAGTGCCTCTGCTGGGACATTGCCGCAAGGCCCTTGCTAAACAGAGGGAGAGCAGCCACTCCCCATGAATACATACATACCAACATACATACATACATACATGTACACATGCACTGGCCAAAAGCGTGTCCCCTCTGTCTGACAGAGCAGGCTGTGCTTGTTCCACACGCCAGCTGCTCATCTGGAGCTGCGGGACGCGGACCACGTGGTCAGCAAAGCGGCTCCGTTCCTTTGGGAAGCCCTGCAACCCCCAGCTCTCCCGCCAGGACCCCCCTTCACCCCAGCCAGGTTGTCCCCAGGCTGTGAGAGCCACTGTCCCTAGGCCCGCTACGGTTACGGCCTCCAGACCCAGCTCAAAAAGCCCGTAATAAACAAGCTCATTCTCCACTGGAAAGCCTAAGTGGAACATGGTTCACTTCCTGAACTGTATGGATTTCAACCACCTCTACACAAGGCTAAAAAAAAAATAAAAAAAGAAGTCAATAAAACCGAGCCTGTTTAGAAAGGCTGTGTGTTTATTTTAAGTGCTGTGCAATTGTCACAGTCAGTGTAAAGAATCAGGACTTTTTATTTGTGTTCATTAAAATTAACCATGGAGAAATCTTTGTATATAATATCCGGGTTAATCCTATGTCTTCAGTACTTGATCTTACAAGTGTAGCAGCTAATTATTTCAGTCAAAGGTTTTTATATATTTGTAAGATGCCAGAGTAATTTTCTTTTAAAAATGCACTACGTAAAATAGCATGTTCAGTTACCCAGTGAAGTATCTGAAAACTACAGGGGTTTTGTTAATTTCACAAAATCATATTCACATAGGAAGAATAGCTAATAGAAATAATTTACTGCAAATATTTATGCTGGATTGCCTGCAGGTCTCAAATTGCTGATGTCAAGTAGTCCCTGCCAAAATTCCCCACTCTACAACCAGTTAATTCATTTATACCCTGTTACCTGCCTGTCTGAAAATAAGGGACCTATTGTTGATGCCCTGCCATTTTAGAGTAATTTGTGAATACTATGGCTAGCATGCATGAGAAATAGTGAATGTCAGCTCTGCACATGTGTGAATTTTGCTATAATTCCTGAGAATTAGTCTAAGATCTTTATGGCTGAGGACACTGGCGCTGAAATGCAGCTTGCCTATTTTTTTTGTGTATGTGTTTCTGAACTGGCAGACTTTAAAGGTAAAGGTTTAGTGTGGTGAGAGTGGCTCTATATGATAACACCAAACGTCTTATAGCTCCTTCCCAGAAAGCAGGAATTTTGATTGACCCAGAGAACACACGTTTGATCTTAGGGCAGGGTGTACAAGGAGAAGCATCACTGAAGAAGCAACAGCCTTTGTTGATGTCAAAGGTATAAAAATCATTTTTGAATCCCCCTTCTTCAACTCTGAAAATGCTGTTTTGCTTTGAAAAGATACAGTTTACAAGATCTTCCATTTCCTCTTACTTACATAGTCTTTAATAGTCCTTATTCTCATATGTAATTCAGGATAGGTTTTTGTTTGGTTTGGTTTTGTTTGGCTTTGTTCTTTAACTTTGAGCTTCATGCACCAACAGTTCACTGCGCACACAAGTTACCAGCAGGGCTGACCAGATCCCTAGGAACTGGAGGCGTCTCCAACCTCTGGCACTATAGTTCAGAATCAGGAAAGTGGGTAAAATTTACTTCATGCCTATACACCAGCTAAAGCATTTATCAACATGATGTAACTTCTTGAGGAAGAAGGTAATTACTTTTATAGGTTAGTATAACTGTTTTTAAGAACTCTTTTCACTGGACAAAAATGGAGTGAAAAAAATCTTGGGCAGAAGTGTTTCTTCCAAATCCTGCTGCATTTATACGTAGTTGAACAGAATATCTGTTACTATTTACTATAACTTTTGTTTGGTGGTGGCTGCTATTGAACAGCAAAAATCTCCTAATTCTATAAAAGATGACTTCTCTGCTGTTGAGCTTTTACAATAAATCCATTTACTGTAGGCATTTTATTTCTGCAGTGATATAAATATTAGGGATCTACTTCTGTTAGTGTCTATTTCTTAAAGACTAGAGTACCTGAACACTTCATCTACAACATTGTGCCATCATTTTAAATGGAAACACTTTTATGCTAAAACTAGTTTTAGCTGAAACTTTGTAACATTATAGCTATGCTGAATTTATTCTAATCTCAAAGTAATTGCTGTCAGAGAATATAAATGGGTATGAACGCAAAAGTATGGGAATATAGATATAATATTTGGAAATAAAGGAATCTTCTTATTCCTTTATGATACATTTCTTTGTGATTTTTAAGTAAATTAACCCATCAACCAAATCTTAGCTGAGTTAAGCTCATGAAAAAATCTGCCAATATTTGATGACACAGTGAGTAGTCTCCATTTTTTATCGTGTTAGTGCACTAGCTTCCAAACTCTCATCTTATTAATAAGTCAAACACTCTTTGACAGACAGACACACAGAAACACTGAAGGTGAGGAGCTCATTCAGTCCTGGGCATCTCTGCCTTCTAAAAAACCCTGTGATGCACCTCTCCCACTCCAGACCCACACCCAAGAAGTTCCTTTTTCTTTCAGAAATGCAGCTGAGCTAAATCCTTTAAAATAAAGAGCAGGGAACAAGGTGAGCCGTTTCTGAAGAGTTTCTGCAGTAGCATTTCTGGAGTGTGAGGGACCCCTGTTCAGCCTTGATGTGCGTAAGCATCTTTGGGCATCGTTCCCCTGGAGAGCACACCTCCCACTGCATTTTCAGCTAAGAAGAGAGAAGCTCTCTGCCTCTCTGTTTATGTATTTTATGACTCAGAAAAGAACTCAAGATTCTTAAGGACACACAGTGAGATCAAGAGTGAATATGACTGTGTAAACCAAGAAATGAGAGCACTAACTACTTCTGCATTGTTCACAAAATATCAGACTTCAGGATTTATTTGCCAGGTAGAAATTTTGAGGAAAATTTTCAAAAATCCTCTTTTGATTTGTTTCCAAATGATCAGAAGGTCAAGTACTTATCCCAGATAAAATATATTAGCCATAATGAGATAGTATATTCTAAACTCACTATAGCCATTGACTGCCACAAACATATGAAATCTCTAGTTCCTTAACTTGCACTTGTATCAGCTTGCATGTTACTGTCCACACAGTTGAACATACTGTCATTATTTTGATATAACCCTTATGTGAAAATACTTTCATTTACCAAAAATGCTTTGTTGTGTGAGGTGTAGTTCAGAGTGGGGGAGCAGTTATCATGGATGACAATGTAAATATTCACATACACACAGAACTTCTTGAAACTCCACAAAAATGACCC